ATACGAAAGTTTGGAATTTTCTTCGGTTTTAAAGAAAACAGGGCAGGGCAGGTTACAGGTTATCAAAATAGCGTAACCTGCAGCCCTCTAGCCACTACTTTTGGATACCCCTAAGTAGTTTCATTTATCCATAACTCGTTCGCATATATATCATCTTTATTTTTGCTAATACAAAAGAGAGACAATCGTTTTTTTAATCAAAATAAATAAAAACACAAATAAAGAATGAATCTACTGAGTAAAATGAACTTTAACTAGTTTTATTCAATTATTTCCATTGTAAATAGATGTTATCAATTACATATTTAATACTAAAATCACGAAGAAGTTTTTTACGATTGATCATTTCTTTTAATTTTTCAATCATTTCATCATTTGCTGTTGGAATATGAAGACATAATGACTGAAGATATTGATTGCAAACATTATTAATTTTCTTTAAAATATCTTTCATAAATAATTCTATATCCATATTATGCATAAAACCAATTTTAAGATATTCTATATGAGGACAAAGTTTAAGAAGAAAATAAATTTCTTCAATTTCATTCATTTTTTCTAAATAAATTTTTGTAATTTTATTCTTCTTTGATTTAAAATGAGAATATTTATTTTCAATAGATGAATATTTTGATTCTGATAATTCCAAAGAAGAAATCTTTAATGTATCAAGTGCAGAGAATTTATTGATTATTTTCAATAATATACTAGAAGAAATATTTTCTTTCGAAATTTCCAAATGATAAATTTGTGTGATGGATAAAACATCACGAATAATTAAATCTAATACCATCATAAGATCATCATCATCATCATCATCATCATCAGGAAGATTTGTAATTTTAAGTCGAGTAGAATTTGAAATCTCATTAGCAGGATCGATATCATACCATCTTTCTCTACAAGAAAACAAACCATTTATAAATTCCTTATAAGGTTATTTTTACTGTACTTATATGAATGAACTGAATAAATATATTCCATACCATTCATTTCGATATCTAATATCCATTTTCGTTGATTCCAAAATAATGAATTAAATTGATCAGGTGGTTGAAAATTTCCTAAAGATTCTGATTCAGGATCAATATCTTGACGATATTCTACATAAAATTTTTCTAATTTAGGTAAATAATTAACAATCAATTTTTCCCATTGTTCATCATTAATATAATCATTATAATCAGATTCACTAATAATACGTAAAAATTTTAAATTACATTTGGTATCTATAATGAATATTTTCAATTCATCAAATGTAATAGAACATATTTTTATTGAAAGATATGTTAAATTAGAACAACTAACTGGTAATACAATTTCATCATCTGAATCATTTTCAGATAAATTCATTAAACTTAAATGATAAAGTTGTGGTGTATAAGATATTAAAATACAAAGTGTATTAAAGGTACATTCATGATTAATAACAAGATGTTTAATAGTACTAAATTGTCCATGATTAGCAATTGGTAATGAGATAGATGTAAAATGTTCATTTGCTGAACATTTAAGATATTTTAATTTTGGTAAAATGAATATTAATTGATAAACTTCAGTTAAATCACGAACTGCATATTGTATATCGATTATTAATGAGGTTAAATGAGGTAATGACGATAAATTAATAAGAAGTGAAATAAGTGAAGTTGGTGGAATTTTTTCAATAACAAGTAATTGAAGATGATGAAATGATGAATCAATTGAAAATGATGAGAAAAATTCATTTTTTTGTATATAAAATGAAACTATTTGATGTTTATGATTAAGTAAAAATTGTTTAAAATTATTCATATGAATCTTATCAGATGTTAAACAATGATAATTAAATTTCAATAGAAGAGATGAAGAATTAATTAATTGTTGAAAACGATAATTAAGATTTGAAAATGTTTGATAAATTTCATAACCATCAAGATATTCAAATATTCCAAAGAAAAATTCATTTGGTAAATTTTCGATTAAAGTTATCGACATATTCAAAGATGAATGTAAAGATTTTAATCTAGAACAAAACAAAAAATAAAATGTTTCATGAAAGAATAAAATAAACAATTTAATTATTTCCAATATAGATAAATATTATCGACAACACGTTTAATCGTACAATTCCAAAGTAAATTTTTAACATTGATTATAGCTTCTAATTTTCTAACCATCTTATCATCTGCTGTTGGAATAGAAAAACATAATAATCGAATTAAATGATAAGATTCATTTTTCATAAGTGTTAAAATAAATTTTACTAATAATTCAGCTTCCATATAATTAACACATTTGATTTGAAGATAATTTATATGAAGAAAAGCTAACATCAATAAATAAATTTCTTCTATTTCATTCATCTTCTCAAAATAAAGTTTTGTAATGTGATTTTTACTTAATAAAACAATAACATTATCGAGTTCTTCATCTGATAAATAATCTGTTTTTGAAAATGATAAAGAATGAATACGTAATGTATCAAGTTCAGGTAAGTTATATAAAATTTCACATAATTTACTAAAACAAATTGTTTCTTGAATTTCTAAATGATAAATTTTTGTTACCGTCAATATATGATCTATATATTGATTGATCGATAATGTTTTAAACCATTTTTCAGGAGATACATCTTTTATAATCAATCGTATTGATTTAGAATATTGATTTATTATGATATGTTGTTTATCGTATTCATACCATCGTTTTCTAAAGAAAATAGAGCGAGATTATTCAATAAAAATATTTGTTTCGTGTTTTACTTATATGGACGGATTGAATATCGGACTGTATCAAATTCAATTTCAGTTTCTAATGTCCATTGTCGTTGAAGCCAAAATGATGAAATAAATTGATCTCGAATTCCGAAATACATTGAAGGTATATCATCATCTCCAAAATATGCATGGTATGTAAAATAAAAATTTTCCAATTGTGGTAAATTATTTAAAATAAAATTTTCCCATCGATTAGCATTAAGATAATCAATATCTACAGATGTACATCCTAATGATAATACTTTGAGTTTTGCATTTAATTTATTAATAAATATTTCAAGTTTATCAGCTGATATTTCATCTATTTGGATATAAAGACGAGTTAAATTTGATAATGTTATTGATTTAATAACTTTAATGTTGATATCCTCGTCGGTTAGACCCGAAAATGTTAAATGACGAAGTTGTGGTACATAAGATATTAAAGTACAAAGTTCTTTAAAAGCAAAAGGATGCTCAATAATAAAATATTCGATATTACTGAACTGTTCATTGGTAGCCATCGGCAATAAGTCACATGTAACATATATTTCTGAAGAACATTTAATATATTTCAATTTGGGTAAAGTGAAAATTAACCGATAAATATCACTTAAATCATTTATTCTATGTTGTGTATCGATTGTTAATGAGAAAAGACGAGATAATGAATATAAATTAGCAAGAAGTGATAGGAGTATATTTTCTGAAATATCAATGATGATAAGTGATTCCAGATGATCAAATGATGAATCAATTGAAAATGATGACAAAAAGTCATCTTTTTCTAATGGTAATGTTATATGAAATGAAAGTATTTGATGTTTATTATTAAATAAAAGTTGTTTATAAGTATTTGTATAGACATTATCAGATGTTAAACGATAAAAATTAAATTTCAATGAAAGAAATAACGAATTAATTAATTGTTGAAAATGATAATTTAGATTTGAAAATGCTTGATAAATTTCGCAACCATCAAGATATTCAAATATTTCAAAGAAAAATTCCTTTGATAAATTTTCGATTAAAGTTATCGACATGTTAAAAATGAATATAACGCGTTATAATCTAGAAGAAATAAATGAAATATGCACATGTTTGTTATTTATTCTGTTTATGAACTGGACGTGCTGTGATGATCTGATGAAATGATGACTATATATATATTCTTTTTTCTTCTTTCCTTTCCTTTCCATTCCTTCTACTGATTTTTTCAATAGATGATCGAACGAGATAGATGTTATCGATTTGTTATTCATATTACAGCGTAGTATTAAGAGAATCTAACCGTGATGAATAACATGCTATTTTTTTCTATTTTTTTATACGTACATGCTTCCGTTGGGACTGTGTTTGAATGAAAATAATTTCATTTGAGAAAAGTGAAAGATCAACATCAAGTTTTTCACTATTATCATATACTCTGCTTTTTCGGTGACAAAACAATTTCATTTTGTATATTAATATCCATCCGATTCAATCGTGTATTAATTGAAATTCAACGTTCACTCATCAATACCTTTCCAGAAGTAATATCAACACTCTTAAATTGCCAAACTAACGTTCAACATTCTTTTCTCAAACCACAGTAGGCGAAGTTGACCTACCTGATCGGCTGAAAATAATATGACCATCGTATAGAGCGTTGTCCATAGCACACAGAAACGAGTTTCTTATTTATAAGTTTATTACTTTTCTTGAAAAATAATTGTTACAAAGCCAATGCGCCTCAAACGTTACAAAAGTCAAAGTTGATTAAAGATTTATATCTTCGGATTTTTCATATGAATAAATATACATTTTCCGAAATCTCTCACATATAATAAAGAAGCTTTCAATAGTCTATAGAGATATGATAATTGGACTGCGTTTGGTCGCTTCTTCAAAAAATTTATTTATATTTATAAAACTAATACATGAGTGATGGTGATTCCGACACGAAACTTCCATGTAATTCAATTTTCAGTTATGCATCAGTTGTTTTTTATTCCAACGAATGGCGCATTAAATACAGTTTTTTGCGCTCTCTCAAATGACCTACTTGACAATTTCTATAAACATACTCACTGTTTAAAGACACTATGATGGAATCACCATTCAATGGTTATACAATATATTAAAGCATCGATTGCTATTCAAGTTATTATTTCAAACAAATATTTACCATGAGATAAATGATTTAACGAGTTCTATTTATTAATTGAAAAGAATATCTACGATGATTTTAGTTATTTCTATCAACTGTTTTGATGACACACTATTTGGGTACTAAAGACTATAGTGATATCGTTCGTATAGTCAACGTTTCTTAATTTTTTAATTCAACATGCTATTACACCATTTATATTTTACTTTTTCTTAGTACATTTTCGTTTTTCTCTTATTTAATTTTATACTATGATTGCGACCACGTGATTTTACGACTGTAGGTTCGATATAAGCATAATTATAGACTGTATACGAAAAAAAGTAAATACTCAAGTGCATCAACCCGATACCGGATTCGATCGGATCTTGTAGAACTCGACCAGCCGATAAAATCCGATAGAATCCCTGATAATTAAAAGACTTCGAAACCCGATGATCGGATCCCGAGGTATTTCTGATGGTATCCGAGTGTTGGACTGACAAAATATTCTGATGATCGAATCCCGTCGGAAATTATCGGACTGAATCATTTATATTTTCAGAGGTATCATATACTTCCGTCGGATTGCATCGGAAGATATCTGATTAGGATTGTTATACAGGGTGTCTGGAAAGTCATTTAACTTTACTAACAAACTTTTTTTAAAATTATAGGTGAAGATACCTAGTTTTCATTTATCCGAACGACCTTACATACTACTATGCAAAACCATCATCTTGAATCGAAATTCGAAAATTTTGTTTTCTTTGTGAGATGCAAGTAATTCAAAAATCGACTAAGGTTTTTTCTTTGATATTTTCATATGATTAGATAGAGCTCGCCGAGTTCTACAAGAATATGTATATTGAAAAGTTTTTAAACCTTTTCTTTAAAGAAAAACTACTACAGACAGTCGAAATAATTAAAGAAAAAAACGCTACAGAATGTCCTTCTGGAAATACAAAAAAAGCAAAATTTTTGTATTTCAATCCAAGGTAATGGTTCTGCATAGTAGTATGGAAGGTCGTTCGGATAAATAAAAACTCGGTATCTTCATCTATAATTTAAAAAAAAAGTTTGTTGGTAAAGTTAAATGAAATAGCAAAGATACGCGAAAAAACTTTTGTTAAATGACTTTCCGTACACACTGTATTTCTACCGAACCTCAAGAATTCTTTCTTTTGATGTGGTTGGATAGAGCATTGATCATTCTATTGAACTGTATTGTTTTCAACTAATTTATTTTGTATATGGATAACCAAAATCGGTAAAGTTCAAGAAGTGCTCAAAAAACAATTTTCTTTGTGTGATATTTTGAGAAGTTTCTCTTAAGTAATTCAAATATTATAATCTAGTCTTTCAGTATCCAATTTGATGCTCAGGTTGTCCAGGAGTTAAATGAATTTTCAAAATGACGTTTTTTTTCGGATAAAATCTCAATCATTATCTTCTTGGCTAAGCTGTAATTTTCTAGTTATTTGAATATTCTTCGTTAATATATGGTTGCATAGAGCGACAATCTCCCTATCATTCCTTATAATTTGACCCTGATTGACAGAGGTCTAGTAGATAATTCCTGCGTTACCCGGAGACTAGCTAAAATATAGCACTAAAAGATTCCATAAAAATTCAGCAGTAAAATAGAATATCCTTCTTAATTTGAAAATAACTTGATGCGATACTTTTTGGAAGTTTAAGTTTGTTGGCTCTCTCCAATCTGAAACCATTTTCGCAACAATTCGATTTAGCCCCATTGAGATAGGAGTGTGAAAAAGTTTTTTTTGATTATTTTTTGAACTTTACCGACTTTGGTTACCCATATGCAAAATAAATTAGTTGAAAACGATGCAGTGCAATAGAGTGATCAATGCTCTATCCAACCATATCAGAAAAAAGAATTTTTGAAGTCCGGTGGAAATACCGTAAACCAAACAAAATGGTCAAAAATAACATAATCAAACCGTATAATGATGCGAAATCTCGAAAAACTTCTTTCTAAAGACTAGAACCGTTTCAAAATAGATTTTAACAATAGGCGAACACCTTTTGAGAAATTGTTTCAACTTGCAAAAAGAAAATCTCTGTGAGAAAAAAATCTTTTGAATTGATGTTTTTGACTCGCATTTTTCGAGACTTCGCATAAATACACAGATACATACGCATCCTTCTCTGACACTTAGGCTGCCACGGAATTCTTTGTCACACACATTAGCAGTTATCTCTCTACTGAGGGTGCTCGAATATCGTGATTCTACATGAAAAACACATTGCGTAATGGATGAATCGCAAATTAGAACTTCGAAGATTTTCATCTAAATTGGGTCGAGTTCATTTAGTACAGAATATTTTCTTCATGTCCAATCACGATATCTGAGCATTCTTAGCAGAGAGATATCTGCTGATATGTGTGATAAAGATTTCCGTGGCACCCTCCATAAGAGAGACGTGTGTGTATTGTTCTAATTAGAACATGTTTTGATCGATCTAAATTAGACCATCGATTATGACCTTTGATATGACTCATTAACCGAAGCAATCAGAAAAAGAACTCGGCGGGATATCAATAAATGGTCTTCTTTGCAGAGTTGAAAATTAGTCGCAGAGAATTTTGTCTATTTTGAGAACAAAAACTGCACCTATAAAATAGCTGTCTTTTGTAAATTGTAGAGCTTCTCACGATGCACCTTATGATATAAGAGATGGAAAAAAGTTCTCAGAAATTTTTCTATTTATATCGATAGGAAAATTGCAGCGAACTTTCTTCTCATATATTATGATTACTATTGATCAGTTTGACTAATTCTTTATTTTGATTCACTAATTAATCTGTAAGTAGAAGTGAAATATTACTACCCGAATAGAGTATCTCTTTGAGTGTTCTTAGACCAATCATAGATGAATATTTTTCTGCTGATCGGTCTGAACGAAATCATCAGACTAGACATGACGGCGTCTGAGACACTCAGTCATGGCGGGTATGCAATTCGTTGCAGACTAACCTCACGGATTAATTAGGCATTTTCGCCTAGCCTGCATTGCCTCCTTGTCTTTTGTTTCGAGAAGTTTATTGAGGGTGTGGGTGTAGGTGTGGAAAGGCTTCTAAACAACACCACCAACCCAGCCATATCCATATCCACATCTAAATCCACACATCCATACCCACATCCCACCCACAACCACACACACAAGCACACCCACACCTCACATCCACATCCACCTTTATCGAGGAAATTTTCTCGACATAAATCTTGATTTATGGACCTTAGTAAATGAGCTTTCCATGCTTCGAGAGATTCACGATATGATTGGAGTTTTTTCAAAGTTCGATCCAACAACTCTTCGGCCTTTTCTGTTTCTTCCAGATATCTTTTGATTTCATTCAAAGTGCTCGTTAGATTCGAGCATTCAATACACGATTCATCGTGCTCATGATCGCAATCTTGGGCAAATTCACGTTTTTTAGGATCGCTCAAGCCATAAATACAACATTGATTAGCAATATTACTAGATCTTGTTACGTGCACTTTATACTCAGATTTCAAATAAAATCGAGCACGTTTCAAATTCTCAATAAGCCGATTACTATCATGGCAAAGAGCAACCTTATCTTCAAGGGTATGGGTGTGGGTCAAAAAGAATACCAAGGACATCTACACCCACACTCGCACCCTATTATGCATATTTTTACTTTGCGCATGGGAAAAATTATCAAAATATGTCTTTAAGAATTTGTTCGTAGAAATTTGGTAGAGCTTTCCAAGACGCATCTTTTAAAGAAAAACTAAAGGTTATATTATTGACTGTGCAGAGGTATCCGCAAGACAAAGAATGTTGTAAACATTTGAGACATCCGTTATGTATGTGGCATTGAGAAAAATATCAGTTGAAAACCAAAGACATTCAAGTGAATAG